TAGCAGTATGATATAATATATAGATTTCTAACACATAATACAAATGCTTTAGCCATCTGATTCGCTTGTAACATGGAAGTAGTAGAGACAATGTATTCCAGCTACGGGTTTTGACTAAAGCAATATTCATACATGCCACAAACGTAAGAGAGCCTAACATCACAAAAGAAGTAAGGGTGGCGTTACTGACCAGCAAACATGATGGTGGGGAGATAACTTCAATTGACCACTGTCTGTAAGGCAGAACATATTGTTAAATTACGGCTCCTTATGTCAAGTGGGTGTCACGAACCAACGGTATCGGTGCTGATTTATTCATGCAAAATACCTTTTTAAATCGTCTTTGAAACGTTGAATTGGTTTCACTTCCTACCGAGTAAACCTATTACAAGAAAAGTGGACAATTCGCTAAAAACGAAGCCTGCTCCATATCCTATAAATTCCAAAAAAGCACAAATAGCTTCGACAAGGAAGGGAGACAGCCATTTTTGTATCAGAATACTGTTTTCAGCACCATATTTTATAATCGCACATAATCTCATACTTTCAGCTTCTTTCTGAACCATCCTCACTTATACAGTCCCTTACCCACTCATACCTTAATTACTCTTATTTGCTCGAATATACTAGAATGCTAAGTAATTATACCTTACCTATTCCTCCATGAAAATTTCTCTGCTTCTCTTCTTTTCTTTTTCTTACAACCCTTTCCAGCCCCTTGAGACACGTCACTGAAAAAAAAATGGAACGGGTGGCTTCGTCCTGCACCATTACTAAAGTCTCAGATATCCAGAGGGATACGAAGTCGCGGTTTCTAGAAGCCCCCAACTACGCATGGATCCATTCTCGACCATCAGTTGCATGTTTCAACATTGCCTTCATAAAGCGCGCTAATTGTGATATTGACAATACGATTCATACTAAAACCATGTACACTCATATCTTATAAAATATTGACCCAACTAAGTAATTTGCTGCAGTGGAAACTGTAACTTTCGCAACAATTTGATCGTGCCTTTAAACTGGCATGCTTCAATTAACAAACTGTTATTTGAGAATAAATAATTATTTTTATTCATATGAATCCCAAACAACGCCTTTGGGACTAACTAATGGGTCTTCTACTTTCCTACGATTAACGCATGCAGCACCATCTGGGTTAGTGCAACAGTCTTGTTTGGTGCATCTTGATGATGTCATAGTATATGGGTCAACTGTTCGAGGACATTTAGAAAATTTGCAAATAGTTTTGAAACGCCCTCGGAAGTTCAGTTTAAACGCACAACCGTCGAAATGCTGCCTGCTGGAGAATCAGGTTAAATTCCTAGTTTACTTCGTTAGTGGACAAGGAATACACTCAAATGGCGAAAAGTTAATATAATTGTAAATTGAGCTTTCCCACAATATGAGAAGGAACTCCACAGCTCCCATGGTTTAAAAATTTGTTATAGGAGGTTTATACAAGGATTTTCAGGGTGTGCGACTACTCTCCATAACTTGCTATGAAAGGATGTAAACTTTGAATTGATTGATTATTGCCAGCGACCTTTCGACCGGTTGAAAGAGTTGTGTTTGACACCAATTTCTGCATATTCATGTTGTTATCACACTGTTGATTGTTTCATTTTAAACACCGATGCAAGCGACCAAGCTATCGGTGCGGTATTATCACAAGTTTCCTCATGTGGGAAAAAATAGTTGTTGCGTATGGAGGCCGAATGCTACAAAAGTTAAAAAAACATTATTATACCACAGGCAAAGAGATTCTAGAAGTCGTTTACTTTGTACGCTACCTCCAACATTACTTGTTGGGACGTTTGTTATTAGAACTGATTATAAAGCTTTAATATGTTTATAAAATTTTAAAGATCCAGAAGTGTGAAGTGCTCAATGGCAAGAGTGTTTGCATCCATATGCCTAGCAAACATCACAAGAATGAGGACTCCTTATCACACAGAGCAGCCAAACTCCATAGAAACTACCCCTTGAGCGTCACTTCGACCACTAACACTATAGAATATTAAAGACTCCCATTGTGAAAATTGGAACAACACATTGTTTGCTTACGTGTGTTGTTCTACCACAATAGATTTGGAAATCATGTGAGATTTTGAGGGGGTTCACATTCAGGCAACATATCCAGAAACTTCAATAGTGTATAACGCTATGAAAAACCAGAGTTTTCGGCCTTCTGCAGAAAAAGTATAGGGTGTGAGTTGAGAAGGTAGATATCTATGGTCTATGTGGAAATTCCCAACATTGATGGATGGAGTATTATATTTTCATCATGGTTCACACTATTCGAGACATCTAGCAATCTTATAGTTTATGGTCGGTTGTTCATGGAAACCTGGACATGGAGGCCATCTAACGTAGAAATTGGTAGCCAAAACACATAAAAGACATACAAAATTATGTCAGAGCTTGTAGGATCTGTCAAATGAATATGAATCCCGAAAACAGCCGGCGTGGACCCTCAATAACTATGAAACCAGGTTACTCGAAAGAGATAGTGAAGATTGACATTAGTGGTTCGTTACGGAAAACCCATAGACGAAGTAAGTATATTTCGGTCATGGTTAACCACTTCACAAAGTGGTGTGAGGCGATCCCTTTAAGAAGTATTGGTGCGCAAATTGTAGATAAAACGGTATTCGAAATTATTGTTTCTCGTTGGCGTGCCGCGGTTCAGTTATGTTTGGACGGAGGTACCTACTTTGAAACTATACTTTTTAAATAATTATGCCATGTATTTGGGATTCGTGAAACGCGAACTGCCGTCAACCAACCAGAAGGTAACGGGCATGCTAAGCAAACTAGTCGGACCCTCAAAACACTACTAGAAGCGTTAGTTAATCAGAAGGAAGCTAGATCATGCGACCTAACGATAAATAAATGCTTGCTAGTATATCGCGGTAACGTCCACATGTCGACTGAACATACATCTCATCTCCTATGAACAGGAAGGAATATGAGGCTTTCGGCGGAGTAGCTCACGACGTACTAAGATCCTTGATTAATATCAGACATGGTAGTGAAGCTTCGAGAGGAAGTATGGAGGTACGGTTGGATTTCAGTTTGTTGTGGCACAAAAACATCAAAAGGAGTATTATGATTAGAAGGCTCGTGGAGTACGCTTTCAAACAGGAGAAAAAGTAAGGTTAAAATAGAAAATTCACCGGCAGGGACAGCCACTAAACTACACAGAGAATGGATAGGTGCACATAAATTAACCAGAGTTTTGGCAGAATTTACGTAAGGAATAAAAGATAGCAGAGACGATTCCCAGATACCCATGATTGTTCACTACAATCGGCTGAAACTGGCGTATGACTGTGTATGATGCATAGTTAACCAAAGTTTGCATCTTAATTTTTTAAAAAGAATCTAATTCAGGGTTGCGACTTTAATTTATGGACAAACCAATCAGATTCAGAACGGAACGCCCTTTGATATGAAGCTATTGATTGTCTTGATCAATATGCCTAATAGGGCAGTCGAAGATAGGTGGGAACTAATTTAGCAGATAATATACACGCATCTCATAGGTGGATTTACTCCAACGGCAATTTCAACTGATGGAGTTGTTCCCCACAACACGTTCGTTTGTGCTCACCTAGTTCTATTTCCTGTAAATCTTACTATTTCGCGAATTCCTAGTTCGCACAACAAATCAAATACTTCCAATCATCACGGCTAATTAACCTCTATACTTGGTGACTGACATTTTTTCTGCTTTTGATTTTCACTAATGCTGCCTTAAATTATCAAATCGGTCTGCCGCTTGACGATGAAAATATCCCTAAAATGTTTGAAATGTCTTTCTTTCTTGACAAGCAGCTAGTTGAAGTTCTTTGGGTGGTCTGCTACTCATATCTTCCTATTTGATTGTACAGATTTTCGTTAATATATAGACAAATTATATTGGTCGTTCAGTACGACTAAATATTTTCATAAAATTCTTACTGATGGTTCTTGTGATTAGTGTAGAATTCGTCTGAATGTGGGTGCCAGAATATATGAAATAGTCCATCCGTATGTCTCTTCTCTTTGGCCACTTGTTTTTAACATCTTTGTATGTACTGCTTCTTCAGTGGTTGACTATATTTAAGATTTTAATCTCCAGAGGGTACCATTCTGGACGACCTCCTTCATGATTGATGCCGGCCAAGATATAGGGATCTATTAATGACAGGATATATATCTAGTTCCACAATTTCCAGGACAGTTCAATGTTCTTTAAAGTTTACCACTCTTTTTGAAGCTATATCACTGAGGACAATTTCGACTTTTTTAGGGCAGAACTTTATTCCTGAAATGTCAGGGAATGTTTCACGTTTCACCGAGAAATTTTTGTCTGTACTTAATGCACAACTACTTGCTGTTTTTATTTAATGTAACGAGCTTTGTAATAATGACTATGCACGCCGAAAGATGTATCTTTCAAGTACAGTCTGTTTAATTCTCAACCACATTTATCCGTTTATAACTATTCATATACATTACTTATACGTTTTTAAACCAACTTCATCGTACATATATGGCTTTGTTTTAACATATACAATTGGACACGTCACTACATTTACACCGGCTGTTTTTTGGCGTTACCGCAGGTACGGATTTCAGTTAGAACCGTATTATCTCCCACCATTTAAGTTACAACTTATTCATGTGAAGCAACGATTATGATGGCGTAGAAAGTATGTTACAATGAATTTCAGATAAAGGTCGCGTTATTGCGTAGTTGGTTGGAACACGATCTAAAACATGTGGGAAAGGATTTTTAGTAAACAGTCATAAGGTGGTAGCTGACAGAGTCAGAACGAGGGGTGTTTGTAAACATATGCATTTTTTGAGAGGTAGTGACATGTGAACGATGTTCAATAACACCGGATGTCAACTTAAACAATCCTTGACCGATATGTTTGTGCGTATTAAACGGAACTCTGAAAAACTACGACGGGAACTACACAAATAAAGCTTATATTAACTATCTTCATGCCCATACTGACTCACCACACTATGTCACTTCGTTGAGCGGATTAACCCTAATTGTCCTTCTTTCAAACCTAAGGATATTTCATTTCGGTTAGTAACGCCCCTTGTTCTTCTTAACGTCCTGTTTTCTTGTTCTCCGTCAGTCATGATAATTTATCTTCGTGTGGACTGAACTGATATATCCAGCATTGTACAACCACGTCCTTCCCTACTAGTAGCTTTTTGTGTGAAAACCTCACGTCAACTTACGGAACTTTTACTTCGAAACATGGGGAAGTATTAAGGGCTAATGTCAGTTTGTCGTAAGACCTGATAGCGTATGAGGAGCTGAGAAGTGTACTCCTTTCAGATCCTAAATTTGCTTGGGTCCCTTCAACTAATTATACGACAGTTCAAGATGATCACTGGAATTTATATCCTAGATACCAGTCTGACCTCTTTGTAACCATCAAGGGACGGCTTTAACCAATCGTTCCCTACAAATTCAGTCGGTCACCTACCGGCTTGAATGGAATGCAGCTCATGACCTCCAGCTGGTACCTTAATCTAATCTCTAGGGAACCCTGAAGAGTGACTAAGAGATCTAGCCAAACACGCTTTTTTACAGTTGCAGTAGATTGGTTGTAGCGACCCCTTGACCCTGTTATTTAGAAATAGTAGCGAGGTCAGGCTATTCCAGAAAAAGTAACTTGCTAGTTGTCCTCATTCATTGAACTGACAAGGGACCTCAATTGCATTTTCTTCTGAAATAATCTCACTGACAGCCGACTCGCTAATGCCTGTTACCTCGATGAGTAGAAACAACTGCTGGACGTTAAGCATCACTATTGCCTTTTCTGTCTGCTTTGCTTCCGTTACCAAACACTGGTCATAATCATTTCGCTCATATTTAACTGGTCCATGTTCAAGTCTAAACTTCTATAACTACATTACCACTTATTGCTATAAATTGATTAGGCAATCTAAAATATTGCATTAATGTTGAGTGATTTTATGTATATATTTACTTCTCACACAACAATACCATACTATGAATTCTAAGTATTAAATTCAAGTTAAGCAGAAAATTACTGAAATTGAATAGGGGGAGGAGGCGGCTCCGGAAATTCACCAAGAGCATCCCAGTAGAAGAGCTGTCGGCGGTGAAGAAATACAATATGATTAATGTGGTCCTCCAATTTCCTTAGCTTGACATTAAGATCATCAAGTGTTGGGCAACCAGATAAAATATCCGTAGCACTTTCCCTCTCTAACCGTTCAAAAGTAAGATAGGAATGAACGGGAGCAACCTTTTCATAGATGTAAGTCCTGGCTCTGAGTAAAAAGTAGACAAAACGAATATATTTTAATTTAAAGACAGAACAGTAAAACGGAAAATGATTGATGGAGTTATTCAAAGAATGTGGACAAAAAGTGATAAGACAATCCTGATAAACAATTCACTCCGACAGACAGTTCCTAACCTAGTAGTTAAGTGAATAATGGCTAACAACTATTGCAATAATTTTCCGACCACTGAATGAAGGTTCACTGCAGTTCCCGAAGTCAGAACGACAAAAAATTGTCAAGAACTAGTTTCGCTGCTTACTCTTTTCAAGAAGTATCAAGCCACAAAACGTGATGTAAAGAATATCAAAATTTGCAGAGAATTACGTCTCGAATAATAAATATTTACTTTATCTGTTTGATTTCGGCTAGAAGCAAGAAGACCGTACTATTTGCAAGGCGAAGCACTCACTGACTGGTGAATACAGGGGAAACAAAACTAACAAAGAAGGCTGAAAATACCATCAACCCTATCACCTTCGTTAATCTAGCTGTTGCATAAACCAAAGAATCAATAAAAACCAGCTGTCAACTACATGAAATGCCAGCGCTGAACTCAATACACGTCCGTAGACACTGACATAGTCTTGCATAATGCCGGAAAATTAGCATCATAACTGACATCGATCTTTTAACCACTGTAATTAGTTTATATATTTGAACACACTACTTCCCGACTTAATATTGCTTTGAAGATAGGAAAATTTTATGAACTATACTAGGTATGCGACCATCTATACGAAAATGTAAACTCTAGTTGTTGTCCTAAACCAATTTTACAGAAAAATTACTAAACTTATGCTAGTGTACATGATAACTTACGGTTATTTATTAAAAATATGATAGATAATAATAAGATTGAGTAAACATCTTAAATATCATTTATATATTGAAGAATGTGCGATAACTATAATTTAGAGACAAAAACGCCAGTCCGTTTCAGGTTTCAAGTGTCCGAGCCAAGAGGTAGTATTACATGAGTCATTCAAGTAGTCATTAACCTTTCGAGATACCTAGAATCTATTTTTTGTCTGGAATTAACTGTCTACAGCGCTCGTTATAATTCAAGCTTATTAGTAGATAGTTTGATCCATGCATTTGAAAATTCTGATTGATTAATTTTGTGTGCTTAATTCAGTATACGCAGAATAATTCTATAATTTCTGATTATGAAGTGTCATTATCGGGTACTACAAATTCAAAAGGTAAAATAACGAAGTTGTCTCAAAATCACTAAAGATAAATGTTTATCAGATCTGTACCAGCTGTGTTCATAGATACAATGAAGATCAAATTTCAGATAAGATAGGACAAAATGGTGTGATTCACTTATCAAGTACAGATTGCAGTACCCGGCTCTGAGCCGAATTCTCGATGTAACGGCTAATGATTATACTCGGTTCCTAAAACCGAAGTGGGAAAGGGATTCGAACCGGAGGCCTAGTTAGTGGTTGAAAGTAGGATATCTTATCCACTTTAACATTGAATATGACATCTGGAAAATACCTAACGTCAAACTAAATAAAAGATGAATGAAATGATGGCGTGATAAATAATATAAAATAGTTATTAAGAGTTGAACTCACTAACTGACCATTTAAAAGAAATACTTTTTAAAACTACTGCAGGAAAAATATTTGAATCAAAGAACTCAACGAAGTATGCAGATGAGATTCAATGTAGTCAACTTTATGACAGACTTGAAGTGAGTAGTCACTGACTGTTTATTTACCTTGATTTGTACTATTGATCATTCATTTTCTAGCCAACAAGTAAACCATAGTCATACTACTTTGACTTAGTATTTGGTACATAAATAAAGACTTTAATATTCAAACACATTCTTAGTCGATTGGTCAGTAGTTCTGACTTCTAAAATCTATATACTTGCTTTTAGGAAGTTAGTATCATGAAAGAAACTATCGATCCGGCTACTTCCATCTTATTCTGCATTTTATCATATAAATCACATTACAATTGTTTGACTATGGATAAATGCTCTTATCAATGATTCAAAATATAATATGCATATATAACAGTCCCGTTTTCAACAAAATGTACTGAACAAATTGTTGTATAAAAACGGAAAGCTAGAATGACAATATTTTGATAAATATATTTATATAAGGTACTTACAAAAACAAGGGGGACATTGGAGTTATGTATACCTCACTAGGTAAGTATCGACAAAGGAAGTAAATCCATTTTACCATGTCATCTAATCGATAACGATGAGGACCAACGGCTTCATAAATTTGTCCTAGTGACTCTGGATTATGCAATGAATTGACAATTCCACAAGCAAGGTCATGTACACAAACAGGTTGCTTTACGGTATTTTTTCCACTAGCCCATAATGGAATATGAACACTTTGCAGTCTAGTGAATCGCCGAGCTGAACAAAGTGTATAAATATGAAAATCCATAGAATCAAAAAATTTAAAACCAACTTCAAAAAAAAAATCCATATACTAATAAGTACCCTGTGCTAGGTAAAACAAGACACGTTTGAGAATTTAACGCTTATTTTGAGATATAAATCTTGAAGTCGAAAAAAGACCCCTAAAAGGTTAACTGACAGTCAATTTAAATCATAAAAAAATATGACCACCCAGCAACAAAGTGTTTGGATTTTCCACGAAGTAAAATAAAGTGAGTTGGTAACTATTTCAGAACAGTCCTCATTTCAAACACGAAGACACTTGGGCTTGTCCCCAAGTCTTAAAAGATCTGACCACTGCTAAGAGTATATATTCCCTTATACCTATGCCACCCGAAGTCAATAACGGTTGACAAAAACCGACAGGAAATTAGTAGACAACAAAACACAAAGTAAGACAGCTCGTAGGATTTTTTGTCGACTAAAAGTCCACGTAATCACTTTATTATTAACTATAAAAATGAACACAATCTCGTGAGTCATGACGCCGACTTTCACTTGACTAAGATGTGAATAATCTTGAACAGCTTTCCATTTCCCATCTGATAACTGAAAGTTTTACTATTCTAAATCCAACTATGACAACAACGAGCTTTAAACCAGTCAATGAACTTATAAAGATTTACCGAGATTTAAATAAAGTATTATAATAGTTGGCGATAGACTGTTTAGAAAACATCGAAAATGAAACTATATTTAAAAAATTCGACCGGTTAATCTGGCCCGAACTTATTTAAAGTAATAATTAAAACAAAATTTATCGAATATAAACAAAGTCATGAGGTAAACATGTACTACACAAATATCGAGTTATATTAATTCGTTAAATATGGTTTAAATTTATGAACTTGGGTCACTTGATATGAAGTCTTTTCAGATTGTGGTGAAATTCAACTGAGGCAAGGTATTTCATTACAATGGTGTATATAGCTACAATCTAAAATGACTAACCACATAGAACGTTTCTCTGACTAGTGTTAAATAAAAATTAGCTTTCTTAGAATCCTTCTTTATCCAGCACAACAACGTATGAACCAATTGTTGGTCACCGGCTACCATGGGACTGCATCTCCTCACGATGCTCCACTGCCTTGTTGGTTAGATCTTTAGGTCAAAGGCTCCGGGTGTGGCTCCCTAAGAAAACCACCTGCTTCAGTTTGGGCACCTGGGCAGTATCACAGCCCTCACGCAAATCGAATGAGATTTGTGGGGAGCATATGTAACTGGTGCTTCTTTGTACCAATATTTATGTGTTTAAATAAATAGAAATAAAAATGGTATTGATGAAATTATATATATATATATATATATATATATATATATATATATATATATATATATATATATATATATATACCACCAACGTTTGGCGAAACCACGAGTACTATTGAGGTCAGCTGTCGGGTACTACATATAGATGACAAATCAGTTGTGATAACTAGACAATTGTGCTAGGGACCCTACGTTATTTGCAAGTGACTGATTACAAGCAATGAATCGTTGGTGTTCTACTTATGTATCTCTTCTATTCAACTGCTGAACTGCTTTAACTTTTATTGGCAAAACTTTTTGAATTACTACAGTTTATAATATTGTAATTTTTCAGTGAGGAGTCTCGGTCTTAAGATTATCCACCTCCACCTAAATCACTCTATAATGCAACTTAGAAGAGTTAAACAGAAAGAGAATGACGGAAAGATGTCGGCAACCAGACTAATTCATGAACCATGCGTCTACTCATCCTAACTAGGTACCTTTAGTGCATCTGTTACTTTGAAGTTGGGGTAGGTCAAGCGTAGTCTACAGCAAACGATGTTTCAGGTTACTTATCACGGTTCCCGACTTTGAATCCAGACTAACCATCATCTCGTAAATAACCTAGTTTTGTGGCCTAACGATACAGTATACTTAACCTGTCCACTCATGATGAAGTTTTATGAGAATTTGAGTTAAGTTTAGCCTACAATTTGTATAAGTAGAGATATTATAGGATGATTATAGGAATATCCACTTTATTGCTGCATTAATTTGATATATCACAGTAAATTGGTACATAGGAGAAGGAACAGAGAGATATGATCCCTAAGAAAATAAAGTATTAGCATTGATTGTACGACCGACCGTTGCCGCTACATTGACGTGGTGGTCGGGCTTGCCTATCGTGATGAACCACTACACTGGTTGGAACAATCGTTCCTCAAGGTCCTACCATGCGAGGTAGAGCCGTTGAAGAGCTGCAAGACTAAAAGCAGCAAACCCAAGGTCCGAAGGCGAAGTCGTACTGCTGACTGTACAGAGGTGTGGCAGCAGTAAGGTGTTTCCTTCAGACAACCAGCATAACAGAGATGCTGCTTTCCCACAAGGAGGGGTGGGGTTAGAAAAGGTCGACCCTAAAAATGAACACCTCGCCTTATCCCACGAATATCCGTCTCCGGCGGTAAGGTCCCAACAAGTACGGAGCTAACACAAAAACTACCCACAAAAAGGTCGCGTGTGGCCGACCTCAAACAGTTGTTCCTTGGGCACTGCGGTCACGCTCTCAGGTCATTAAGACCACTTCTAACCCAATTTCCTTTTCAGATACCTCTAGAAGAACCCTTCCACGGTGTGGGAAACCAGGAAGTGATAACTGTCCTCATACCTCTAACAACACTCCAGACCACTGTATTCATAATCAATCTCCTTCTTCAATTCCCACTGTTTCTTCTACCTCGACTCTCAACACTAAACTTCCTCTTTCGGTCTCCTCCTTAAGTGTCACCATGGCCAACGATTCTAGTGCGCGAAACACTGTCCCAGGTCTACTAAAACCTCGCTCCAAACTACACATTGGAGCCTTCAACGCACGTACCACGTGTTAAATCGGTTGGCTAAGACCCTAGAATATCGTACCATCGATGTATGCTGTGTCTCCGAAACACGCATACATGATCCCAGTGTGGTCATTCACTTGACCTCACCTCGTCAAAATGGACAGCCAACGAAATACACCCACCGTGTATCTGGCGACCCCATGACTAGTTCTCGTGGACTTGCAGGTGTAGGCATAGCACTTAGTACAAGGGCATAACAACCACTACTTGAATGGATCCACGTTAACAGTCGCATGCGTGTTGTCCGGCTAAATAGCTCCGTAACTACTCGTAAGGATAGGGACACACGTCGTTGCCTTTTCGTCGTTTCTGCCTACGCTCCCACTGACTGCAGCCATGATGAAGTGAAAGATGACTTTTACAGAAAGCTCTCTGACCTTCTTCAAAAAGCTAAGCGCTCAGACATAGTAGTCGTAGCGGGTGACTTTAATGCCCAGGTAGGCAGCTTAAATCAAACAGAAAGACATTTAGGTGGGTGTTTTAGTATTCCGGCCCAACGAACCGATAATGGTGATCGTCTGTTGCAACTATGCTCAGACAATCGTTTATTTTTAGCAATCACTAATTTTAAGCACAAAGAGAGACATCGTCTAACATGGCGACCACCTGCACCAAACCAACGATAGACTCAAATAGACAATATTGCCATCAGTCATCGTTGGAGAAGCTCAATAGAAGATTGTCGCTCGTATTGGAATACTTGTTTAGACTCTGATCACGCTTTAATACGAGCACGCATTTGTCTGCGCTTCACTGGACGCAGGAAAACTACACTAAGAAGACCCATTAGGATTGAACTGGAGGACGAGAAAGCCAAATGCGAATTCCAGGAACAACTGAGTTCACATCTAGGCAGTTCTGTAAACGAGACTGACACAGATGCTGCTTGGAAAGACATACGAACAGTTGTGGAAACAGCAGTTACATCTAATAGTAATTTAAACCATAGGGTTCCCAAAAACCAATGAGTTTCTTCCAAGTCTATTTCACTGATGGATTCGCGTAAACTCATCCCATCAGGCTCTGAACACGACGTAGAGCCTAAATAAATTAGATCTAGGTTAACTAAAAGTCTAAGGAACGATCGTGAGCAGTGGTGGGCAACGAAAGCAAAAGAGATAGAAAAGGCAGCGGCTGTAGGCAACACCAGGCAACTATTCAGACTAATAAAAGAAACCGGAATTAATAAGTCAAGTGTAAGTGAGACAATCTCGGAAAAGGACGGAACCCTTATCTGCTCTCAACCCAAACGTTTAGAACGATAGGCGGAACACTTTAAGGAGCAGTTCAGCTGGCTCTCAGCTACTGCACAACTACCCACTATTCCCAGACAGTCTGAATGGAATATTGAAGTAGGCCCCTCGACCCTACCTGAATTTCAAAAGGCTATAACTAATCTGAAACGAGGAAGAGCAGCTGGTCCACATGGATTGGCTTCAGAGGTCTTTAAATATGGTGGCCCAATTTTAGCGACTAGGTTAACTAATATTTTGGCTAAAATCTGGGAGTTGGGCGTAATCCCATCCGACTGGGCACAATCACTTATTGTCCCAATATATAAGAAGGGGCTAAAATCATCCTGTGATAACCATAGAGGGATTAGTCTGACTAACATAGCATCTAAAATACTAGTCTCAATAATTATCGGACGCTTAACTAAGACTCGTGAACTGCAAATACGAGAAAACCAGGCTGGATTCAGACCTGATCGTGGCTGTATAAACCACATATTTACTGTTCGTCAGGTTTTAGAGCACAGACATGTTTATCGGCGTCCGACAATGATAGTATTTCTTGACTTGAAAGCAGCATTTCACTCTGTAGACTGAGAGGTTCTGTGTTAGTGTCTGTCATTAAAAGGTGTACCTGAGAAGTACATAGACCTTGTGAGGGGTTAGGTCAGTCGAGTGAGAGCTTGTGGCGAACTGTCATATGATTTTACAACCTCAAGTGGTGTCCGTCAAGGCTGTCCACTATCCCCATTTTTGTTTAACTTCACTATAGACCTGTTGCTGGAAATAACACTCTCGTCGACTGCATTTTCAGGAATTGATCTTCTACCAGGAGGTTCACTTATCGACTTAGAATACGCAGATGACATAGTCTTGTTTGGTGGAGACGCTGACAAAATCCAGAGTCTTCTGTTAGAACTGAGTAATAATGCCAGGATGTTTGGGGTGTGTTTCTCCCCATCTAAATGTAAATTGTTAATCCAGGACTGGCCTGCGTCAACACCAGAACTAAGGATAGGGAGCGAAGTGGTCGAACGCGTCGACAACTTCACTTATCTCGGAAATCTGATCAGCCGTAATTAGTTGGTGTCTGACGAAATCTCAGCACGGATTCAAAAAGCTCGTTTGGCTTTTGCCAACTTACGTCACCTATGGCGAAGACGAGATATCCGTCTATCAATTAACGGACGAGTATACTGCGCAGCAGTTCGCTCTGTTCTACTTTACGGCTGTGAAACGTGGCCATTAAGAGTAGAAGATACCCGTAAGTTACTAGTATTTGACCACAGATGTCTTAGAAATATTGCTCGCATCTGCTGGGATCACCAGGTATGTAATAGTGAGGTTATTTATTTAAAACACATATATATTGGTACAAAAGGGCACCAGGTACATACGCGCCACACAAAATAATGAAATTAGGAAGAGAAGGGATGAAAAGATAAGGGGGACTGAAATGTGAGGTTAGACACAGGATATTAGAGAATGATGGTAAGTCAGTTGATGAGGTCATGAATCTTCATCGACTGAGATGGGCCACGTGTTATGTGTGCCTGAACATCGATTACCACGACGCGCTATGCTTAGTGTAGGAGATGGTTAAAAGAGAGTTAGGGGCGGCCAAAACAAAACGTGGCATCAGTGCCTGAAGTCACTAACTTTTAGTCTGAGCCATGTTGGCAGATGCAGACTACTTGGCTGGGGTCCGCGTGACTATCGTACCCAATGATTAGAGACTCTAGGTGACATGGCTCAAAATCAACCACAATGGCGTAGGTGTATACACTCTTCCCTTAAACTTGAGATTAAAATTGCTTCATAATTTTCTTTCTTGCTGTACTATATCCTTATATACAACCTTTTTTATATATTACCACCACTAAATTATCTACTTCTATGAATCCGGTGTTCATCTTGTTGTGCTAATAAGGTATGGCGACTTGAACCGATGCATATATGTGCCTCGTCCTACGTTGTCGCTGACTGACTGATAAATGTGCCTGGTCTCACGTTGTAGCTGACTGACTGACTGATTGTTAGAATCACTACCTGTCTGTGTATAAAACGGCTTAAGATTACGTCAGACGGTCTTTTCTTAGTCCGTGACCTTACAAGTCTACATGGATAACACAACTGAGATCTGTAAAATGAGACAAAAGCTAATGAGCCTGTAAACAAGGCATTTATTTCCCATAACATAAGAGGCTGTACAAGTCGAGTATATGACCTAAACAGATGAGCGATTGTAAACTTATTCACTGGATAAAACATATTTTAGTTAATAATATAATCTACATTGTGACTTCAGACATCTAATTACTTGGAGGTATGTTTCATAACCGTCCATTGAACTGATAAAGTTAACAGATGGGAAATTAGGAAGATGCTAAGTGCGAGGTATTTTCGGTAACATAAAGAAACTCCTGTGATGTCTAAATCACTATGTCAAGGAGGTAAACACTAATGTTACGCAAATAGTTGTGGGAATTGAGAAAAAAACCTTTACTTATACATATATCTCGAAACTAGAAACCGAAAAGTGAGTAGGGAACACAAATATATTTAAATAGACTTCTCTACAGTACCTCATAATAGACGTTCTGCTACGCTTAAATCATAGACTATGATCTTAGCAAGTGAACAAAGTATTCAAAAGAAACAATTTAACTTACGTCTTGAAGCAAAATAACACAAAAAACGATCATGTGGTCCCCATATTTCAGCTGGTCTGAAAATTGTAGCGTCTGGACGTTCACGCAGAACTTCTTCTTCACCAATTGCTTTAGATACCATAAATCGAGAATGCTTTCGAACATATTTCGGAGGATTCTTATTTTGACACAGTGCAGATACATGGACCAGTTGCTGAACTCCCAACTCTTTAGATATCCTTGCAATCCGGGAAGCCGCATCAATGTGTACATGTTCGATAGTAAAGTTTCTAGTGTCAGATTCTGTGCCTGTTAGGTTGATGACCACATCACTATACTTCATAGCCTTTCTTAAGGATTCATCATCTTTCAAATCAAAAGGCTACAAATTTAATGTAAACATCATATTAGTTCTCCAAAATATAGATAGTAACGCTGCATTAATAATTATTAACATTTTTATCATAAAGGGGGGTAGCAGGGATTGCTGAATTCTGTTTGTATATATATAGACAATCATAAAGAAAATGTATGCATAAAAATAAACAAACAGAGCATCCAGAAAACAGATTTTTACACTGTGTGATCACAACAGCGGGAAGTTCTAAAAATCAACATCAAACTACAAGTTACTACATTTGAACATAAATTTAAGATATTTGAGTGAGTTTGTCATTGTCTCAAAGGATACAATATAACTGGTTCAACCAACAAACAATGACCATATAACCGAAGTACCATTCAAAGTCGGAAAAGCGATTTAGTACCGGTATTTGAAACCCGTATGAGGATGAAATGCTATTTTATTTCAGAAACGTACACAAATTTATAAGAAAATCGTCGACACATGAACTTTCACGCTCCCAAACAAAGTTCGAAAGTCCGGTCCCGAAACTGACGAAATAATATAAGACAGGGATAAAAAATGAAGTAAACTTTCAGCGAATATGGCAGTGCAACAATGCATTTGAAGGATAACTTTACCGAAAATCTATTTCTTTGGACGGCATTTCTTCACAGTAAAGTTGACTTTTAAGGTTCTCAGCGTCACAGGATTGTTTAGGTTTCAAATCAATTAGATCATATAACCTAATGATAACAGTTTGACGATCTATTCATTAAGTTCGCTAAAAGGAATATTAAATTCAGGTGAAAGGGCCTTTAATTCACATATTTATTGCGAAAAATGTGTGATGGCGAACAGTTCTATATAACAACATTGGGAAGAGTGGTTGAAGCGCTACCCTTCCCCCACCCCAAAAAAACGAGAAAGATAAAAAATAAGTGGACAGAAGAATCCAATCAATCTCGAGATAAATATTGAATGTTTCTGAATACACATGAACTCTACATTCACGTTTGTATATATAAAAAAGTAGCTCTAAGAATTACGTACCAAAAATAAAACTTGCCCCAGATCTCCAATAACTTTTACATCTCTGATCATATGAGGGTCACATCTGTATGGAAGAATAATTTGTGTTCCAGTTTTGGCTAGTTGTGCCATTAAATTCCGACCTAAGTATCCAGTACCACCAAACACGGTCACGGTCATGCCATTAAATGAAGCTCTCCCACCAGTTCCTCGTTTCAACTTGCTTAGAACAATGGGCTCCTCCACCAAGCATCCAGAAGTGGTCGTAAAGAAACGAATACCTAAACCATCTAAAAGGGAAGATTATATATCCATAAATTACCTTACAATGGCACAAGACAAGAATACAAACTAATGATTAGTGGGCTGACTAAGTCACACTAAACAGCAACAAGAAAACAGACACTCGAAGGGCTTAGTTTTTACGGTGCTACTACGTACAATATTAAACGAAGTTGAAAACAACCACTACCCTTACTTAAGACTGGAATTTTAAATCTCACACGGAGTCCTAGGATGCACAAGTTCACTTCATATAAGAGTGGATATACTTCACTACATGGTTTTACGCTAGCGAAACAATTATCCATATGCTTTTTACATAAGAAAATATTCTAATATTACTGTGAAGAGCTAAGTACACATTTACCATGGACAAATGATTTATACGATGTGAGAAAGTTCTTTCACAGAAGTAAGACGACAATAGTAGATGTCGAGGGCTTATGAAAAACAGATACGTTAGTCCACAGTGAGTATACAAATGATTACACAGGTTTTTAAGAGTTAAAGCAATTCGGATGAAACTCAATGAGGGAAAAATATACTGTATCCACCGACTACTATTAAGTATGCAGGGTCTAAAACGGCCCCACATATTTCCAGACTAGTTTTAAATTGAAAGCTTGGCAACCTAAGAAAATCATATAGTTTTATCTCACCACTCGATTAGAAGCATAGATGTTATGAGGCATACGACAAAGACAAGGGAGCGAAATATAGGAAATACTCACTCTAAAGTGGTTGGCACTATTACAACGTGCGTTAATTAAGGCATTACGTTGACCTCGTTAATTCTAAGCTGTGGTCGGACAGAGCATTCGATCTAGAAATTACGAGACGATGAACTCTTAAAACCGTCAACATTCGAAGCTACAAGTAGATTTAGCAAGTACATTCTTTTTACTACTATGGACAGTCTATAGACCTTGGCAAGGGAAGATGACATGACCTTGTTTGGTAGAGATGACAACAAAATTCAAAGGTTTTCCGAACACTGGCAGAAAAACCGATGTGAGGGATGCTTTACTCAACTACAAGTGCACAATGATGGTTTAGAACGAGGCGACCTAAGTTAGTATGACAACCAGGAATATTAAAGTTTGACGCACTGATCCTACTAATTTTGTAGATGAAATCACACAGCGGATAGAAGTTTAATTTTGGTGTCCTACATTAGAAGACCCGTGGAACAGACAGTATTTCTTTTCACGCTATTGAACGCAGAATGTACTACGAAGCAAGCTATTCGGCTCCCAGGACACAGTCATTGAGGTAGACCCTCAATTCCTATTTAAAGAATTTGTAACACTCTGCGTCTTCTGAATTGTACTAAATAATGCATACTATTGACACGTACACCGTGGAAACACGCCACCAAAGCTATTCTTTAGTACTTATGAACAAAGTGAACTTGCATGAGTTAAAACCCGTCTTCTTAAAGAACCCAGAGACTTTGCTCATAACTGTAGCGCAAGAGTCGATTCAGAATCAGAGGTCAAATCAGTCTTCAGTCTTCAGTAATAAGGATAGAAGGTCTAGTGACCTATTTTAATCCTTGCAGTTTGTTACACTGTGGAGGTCCAATCTCGTCTTGAATATATCAACAGAAGGTGCTGATATTACGTGTTCTGGTAGAGAATTCCAGTAATTCACTACTCGGTGCGAGAAACGAAGCTCCAGAACTAGACGATTTGATCTCGGTTTTTGGACTTTCTTTGAATGTCCTCTCAAATGCTCAGCCCTAGACGGGAGGAAAAGATAGGACATGTTAGTACCAAGGTCATCGTTCAGGATACGATATGCCAATATTAGATCACCCCGTATTCGCCGGTAAGATAACAGAAATAAGTTGAGGTGTCTCAGTCTGTCTTCATAAGATAGGCTAGATAAGCCTTTTACCATTTTTGTCCCGCGGCGTTGGACTCGTTCCAACATATCCGCCTCATATTTGAAACAAGGACTCGCTGCTTGAATCCCATATTCCAAATGTGGCCGTACGAAAGTTGGGTATAATAATCTAAACATTTCCCCATCCAGATACCGGAAAGATCTACGAATAGACCATAATGCCCTATAGCCTTTTGCAGCAGCAGCCTTACAGTGACTGCTTGTTTTGAGATCATTACTTAGTATGACTCCTAAATCTTTATAGTTTCTTACTTTGGGCAACACTAGTCCACATAATGTGTAGTGATACGAATCATCGTAGTTATTTAATTGCATCACGACACTTTTATTAGGGTTTACTTCTAGTGACCACCCATTCATCCATGCAACTAGTGAGTTAAGATCTTCCTGTAAAACTATTCTGTCTGACATACTATATATGGGTCTCCAAATCTTAATGTCATCGGCGAATAGTAGGACGGATGACTTAGCTATAGCTGGTAATTCATTTATATAAAGTAAAAAGAGAAGAGGACCTAAAATCGTGCCTTGGGGGACGCCACTTTTTACTGGTTCCCACGATGAGAGAGCCCCATTTATTCTTACCCGTTGTCTCCTTTCATGAAGAAAGTCACTTAGCCAGTCTATGACTGCATAATGAATTCCAAAACTTTCTAGTTTCAATTTAAGACCAGAATGGGAAACCTTATCAAAGGCTTTACTTAGATCTATGAAAATGACATCTACAGGAATATTGCGATCTTTTGCCTCAGCCCAATCTTCTCTTGCAATGAGAAGATTTGTCAAACATGATAGACCTTTTCGAAAACCATGTTGTTCCTTTGACAAAAGATCATGTCTTTCCACGTAGTTTATAACAGCCATCCTAATAATCTTTTCCATTAGTTTTACAACTGCACTAGTTAAGCTGACGGGTCGATAGTTACTAATGGTTCAAATAATATGTTATCCTTAGTCCTTAAGAATAAGTCAAGTTTCCTCCTAAAGGACTCCAGGGAAGCCGCTTGGACTAGCTCAGTCCTCAGCGAATTCCAGCATTTGACAACTCTTACGGAGTAGATGTGTCCGCAGTCTGTTCTGCTATCTTGGGTCTCCAGTTTCTAGGTATTACCTCTTAGGTTAGTGTTGTGACTAGACTTAAGAAAATGTTTAGGGGGATGACCAGAAGTATTAAGGATACTGTAAGTCATAAGAAGGTCACGTCTAAGACACCTGTACTCTAACGGGTAAAGGCTAAGTGATTGGTGGCCCTCTTCGTAAGGTTTGAATTTGAGTCCCCGAACTGATTTCGTGGCTCGACGTTGGATACGTTCCAGGGTTTCCTTATCCTTTTGGGGGGAGGGAGGGAATGCTATGTTTCCGTACTATAAACGGGGATGAATAAAACTGTTGAAGATTATGTGGAAAGTTGTGGTGAACAGAACACTGGTTGGGGACAATCGAATGTATTTAAGCAAAAATTACAGACTATCTCAGTAAATTCTGATAACCAAACAATGAACAGTCAATTTGCAAATTAACAACCAATTGTTTCAATCTTCTCTGTTTCTTCTCTAATTTCATTGCTCATGCATTTTCCAAACGATTGCGCTTCATTTCAGCTCTTTGCTCATCGGTCTTCTGCCGAAATACATTCTATGTCTGACCCACACCATATACTACTTATATGGATATAAGTAGACCACACCACAAAGTTCTACCGTTGAACTGGCTGAAAATGCGCTTCAATGTTACCAGTGCAAGGTTTGCTTGAAATGCGTTTTTGTCATAGTTAGCTTACGACTTCAAGTCGTACGGTAGCAACATTCCTAAATCTTTTTCGACTTGTGATACTTCTAGAGAGGAGTTTCCTAAGTTGTAACTATAGTCTGTAACATGTTTCAGATGGACCACTTTGCACTTTGAAGTGTTGAAGTTAGGTCCGTTGTCGTCTGCCCAACTTTGAAGTCGAGTTCGGTCCTCTTAAAGTGTCACTATATCCTCTTGGTTGCGCATGTCTCTTCAAAGTTTCACATCATCAGCAAAAAGCAATAAGTTAGACGATACTTGTTGTGGAAAATCGTTTACATAAATCAAGACGAGTAGAGGTCCTAGTAATGAGCCTGGGGGACCCCACTGGGACGTTCCATAGCCTGAGAGAAATTGAAGTTAGCCCTGACTTTGAAATGTCGATTTTTTAGACATGAAGTTAATTAGAGGTGGTTTCATACCCAATCGTTTAAGCTTTATGATAAGACACATATTATTAACTCTATCAAAAGCCTTTGAGAAATCAAGGTAAAAGATGTCGACCTTCCCCTTGTGATCAAGGGAAATCATTACAACTCATATAGTCTTGTGTCCGTTTGTCACCATACTGTTTGATTGTTTTCTCTCATTCACACAAATTTACTTGCTTAAATGTCTACTTAACAAGAGGGAACAATTTTAGTTAATCTTGCCTTAATGTCCCGATTGCAGGTGATTTAACTTCGGTAGTCATAAAGTTTGTGCGCTCCATGGCTTATCCTTCACCGTCCCTTTTTTCTTAGTCCCACCAAATACAGATACACAGAAAATATGACCCACTCCTACGCTTGACTTGATACCATTCATATATCAGAAAGATCAACAGCTCTTCCTACTAGACGCCTGCTATATTTGTTAACTGACGAATCCTAACGAGGAACAATGAGAAATTTGGTAAAATTTGTGCTCCGAACTGAATAATCATTCATTCACTGCAATATTCTTTGTTGTAGACAACTGTAGATCTGATCTGCGTTACTTCTCGATAATGAGTTGTTTGTCGCATAGTGCCAACTTTTATATTGCTTACAGAAATGGCGCTTATCTAGATATTGACTCAAATACATTGATGGTTGTAAAAGTATAGGGCTATAATTTAAAAATTACGTTCATTAACGTAAGTCCATTTTTACTCTGTCTTGCTTAGATCTGTTAGCAACTTTATCTTGCTTACCACAAATTTAATGTGTTAATAATATAGTCAGTATTTTTGTAAAGATGTATAAGAAACAACAGTAATATATATATAACAAAAATGAACGAAAAAATCATTAACGCTGTAAGATTTGATGGTTGAATAAGCGTTCATACAGAATAGTTTACAGTGGTGCTATTAAAGTCCGGATTGATTTCAGAGAACAATCGTCAAATATTAACTTGCACGGGTCACATTTACGTTCTGGAAATATAATGAAAATGAAGAGTCAATTTATTTTAGTGTGATACAAGACATTGTGTTTTTAAGTGCGACCTCTGAATGGTTAGGAATAAATCTCATGTAGAAGTAAGGGGAAAACACAAGGAGAAGAACATCTTATTTGTCAGGGAGACCCACCAGGAAAACATAAATAACAAATAGAAACAAAAGCGGACTTGGAATATTTACATGTAAAAAATAAACACGGTTTCAGAAGTTTTGTTTCGACTCACAGTCAATAAAGCAGATGCCAGACCTTGTTTAAGTAAATAGTTGGTAATCGCATCGGTATTTATTGGGTGACACAAACCGATTTTTAAGACGAATTCAACGATCAGCTTTGTGTTGTGGGTTATAGTTCAACGTAAAAGTTTCTACACATAGCTGAGTAACCAATAACGAAGACATTCTGATGTAAGTTTGTGCAGGTTTCCGGAATCGATGAAACTTTCATTTATTAAGCCGGTTAAATGATAGAGAAATAAGGGGATGATGCTGAACAGTAAAAAGTAACATTTATAAGCCGGTAGACGAAGACTAGATTCGTCCTAATGAGCCCGATCGAGAGAGGTTCTAACTTGATTTGTTTGTATAATGAGTGAACATTATTTGTATAGCTCCTGTTCCCACAGATTCAAAGTGCCTGAAATTACTGTAGATTGAAACACCACATTTAAATATAAGTATGATAGACATTTTATGTAATAAAAATCTAGATTACATTTTGTTAAAACTTATCATTATTAGTCTCCGTGATTCCTGTACAGGTCAAACGGTTTTAGACAAAATAATGGAGATTCACTAACCAACTTACGTTAAAAATGATGTAGGAACGTAATCACGTCCACCGTTATAGAAAGTTTTCCAAGCAGTGACAACCTGGCTGGTGTTGGTGGAAATGTACTCGGGGGGATGACTCACGGTGAAATCAATGATTCTCTTACAAGCTCCGAAAGAGCCGAAGACATTCCATCCAGTTATCCTTTGGAAGAGCATTCCAGAATGTAGACATGAAGCTTTCCAATTGAGTAATTGTTAAAATCACTGCATGCGGATTGAATTATTGTAATGACGACTTCGTTTTTGCTAAAAACTATAAATACTTGAGTGTTCTGTAATATATCAGACACTGGTTGTAATAAGGTTCTTTTCTACTTGTCTTCCGTCTTCTGACTTGTGAAGTTGAGGGTTCAAGCGTTCGATTGCTCAGATTGTACGCGACACAACAGAATTTCAAGCCCTAGATATACCAGCACTGATATAGGTTTCGGTTTTTTACTGTGGCAGCACGAGAAATGTTGGTTGAATTGTTCACGAAGGGTATCAATAGAGTCTACAGTGTTTTCTTTAATTCTAAATAATTTGGTTGTATTCGGAGAATTATATCTCATGTGTGGTTTGGAAAGCAGAAGTATCGACTGGTCTTGGATTTTCCATCTAAAGGCTTGTTTTCCACAGTCAGAAGACACCTAAGTCGAGGTAAATCATTTCTGTCAACCAAGTCAAGTATGCGCTTGGGTGAGTACAAAGTATAGTGCTTGTGATAGCGGTGTTTCAATTTTCTCAGCTTTCTCTTTAAATTTTCAGAATTATATTGGCTCCTTTTAGCGTTATAAATGACATGATCGACAATT